ACGACCGAATGTGATCAGCGTTCAGGCTTTTTCACACAGGCACGATCGATGTTGATGGGTGTTCACCAACGCCAATGAGACCGCCTGGAAATTCCCCTTTAGATAGCGTGGGGCCGTTGTATCTTTTGCTTGCGCACTCACGCTCTGGCACTCGCTTGTTCGGAATATAGCTGTTGTGTTCCATTCTGTGAGTCTTTTTTTCTGGCACCAGGCACTGGAGTGGGTTAGCAACAGATACCACAGATTGGCAAATCAGCAGTAATAAGGAAAATCTGCCAAATGTTTCACTTCTTTGAAGGAACGCTTGAAATGAATCAGCTGAGTTCCGTTGAATCTCTTGTCAAAGTCAAATCGATGTGCAGATGAGAGTAGTGGTCGAAGTGTACATGAGTAGTGCAATACAAATATACATGTATTGCGATATCTCGAGTATCGCAGCGACTGAAAGATGAGGCGGCCTTTGTGCAGCACATTCAGTTGCCCGGGAACATGACAAACGGGAGATTCAGCTGGGTTCCAGGTGAGTCTCTCAAAAAATCAAATTGTTTTGCAAATAAGTGCATTTCGCTAATTTCGTGCAACTTGGTTTTAAGTAGAACATGAGGCTAACTGAAAGTCGGGGACAGGTGGGCCTACCTGATGATCTCAAAAAAGGGCGAAACCGGTCGTGGGCTGTCGAAGAGTTGTCGGCAACCTTATGACTAGTGCATTACGAATATACCTAAATTTCTTTGATCAAACTCCCCCTGGAATTTTTAGCGGACTGATTTCCTTTGCTTAGTCGCCAAATGAATCGGTTGCTTCAAAAATTTTATAAGTGGCTAATCTTTTTTTTCCATGTCGTGTGAAACAGACGCAGATGTGCCAGATAACATCGTTTAAAAAGTTTTCAGTTAACAAACTCAACTTGCCTCGAGTGTTGTGCCCAAAGTCTGCTATTCTTTTCGTTAGGTGAACCAATTTTCCTGGATGTCAGGTGACCATATAAACCACATGGTATTTCGGTGGCTTGCTGTGAAGGTCGACGTGTGGGGAGGGGCAACCAGACGAGTTTAGTTTAGTTCTCGCCGTCTTCACAAACCACCCACAATATCTTCGATCCACAGAAGGTCACAAGCCACGTAGAACCTAACCTACTGTTTCAGTTGTATCCGCGAATCTGAATAGATTGGCGGAACGGTAATTGAATAACAGCTCAAAACCAGTTCCAAAAAATATTCCGAAATCCCATATCATCATTATCAGGCCTGTAATAACTCATTTGCAAACAAATTTATTTTGCGATAGACTCACCTGTAACGCAACTGAGTCCATCGTTTTCGATATTTCCATGCAACTGCTCTAGATAGAATGCTCCATTGACTGACTGATTGACTGACGGACTGGTTGATCGATCGGTCGATTGATTGATTGATTGACTGAATGAATGATTGATTGTTGATTGATTGATTGATTGATTGATTGAAAGAGGTCAGCGTCAGGATCTAAGGTAACCTGCTCGCATTTCAGCAGTTACTGGTGTTACAGACGTCAACAGGAATTTCAAAGCGCTTATCAAGCTTTAGGCTGTGAAAAACCTATTCGGCTAAACCGTTTGAATTCGGCTTCAAAGAAAACGTGAAATTCTTAAAGATTGATACGAAACTTAGAGCTCCAACCATCGGTGGTAAACTTGACACATTTTTTGCGAACAAAACGGCTTTTGAAACAATGGACCTCCAAAAACTTGACCTAGAAACGGTTCAAAAAGATAAGGTTGCTGAAAATTCGAATTTTCAGCAACAACTCCTTTTTGAACCGTTTCTAGGTCAAGTTTTTGGAGGTCCATTGTTTCAAAAGCCGTTTTGTTCGCAAAAAATGTGTCAAGTTTACCACCGATGGTTGGAGCTCTAAGTTTCGTATCAATCTTTAAGAATTTCACGTTTTCTTTGAAGCCGAATTCAAACGGTTTAGCCGAATAGGTTTTTCACAGCCTAAAGCTTGATAAGCGCTTTGAAATTCCTGTTGACGTCTGTAACACCAGTAACTGCTGAAATGCGAGCAGGTTACCTTAGATCCTGACGCTGACCTCGTATCAATCTTTAAGAATTTCACGTTTTCTTTGAAGCCGAATTCAAACGGTTTAGCCGAATAGGTTTTTCACAGCCTAAAGCTTGATAAGCGCTTTGAAATTCCTGTTGACGTCTGTAACACCAGTAACTGCTGAAATGCGAGCAGGTTACCTTAGATCCTGACGCTGACCTCTTTCAATCAATCAATCAATCAATCCATCAATCAATCAATCAATCAATCAACCAACCAACCAATCAATCAATCAGTCAGTCAGTCAGTCAACCAACCAATCGATCAATTAATCAATGAGTTCATCTATCTATCTATCTACCTGTTTATCTATCTATTTATACATGTATATGTATAGATGTGTATATGCTTATGTATGTATTCCGGGTTCAGTGGTCACTCGGTTTGTACTCAAACATTCCACTGTGTTCGCTGAAAGAAATGAACTACATATTCTTGGAAACGACTGAAGGCTTCACTGGAAATCGCGGGCTTTTTCTAGCATAAAACTAAAGCTTTGACCGAAACAGACCTGTTTCGTTTGCTTCCATGAATCGAACTTAACGGTAAACGTAACACTCACCTCCACTGACCATACTGCTAGACCGTTTGGCGAGCCCTACTATCTCAAGCTTGAAGCTAACCGATATCAGTGCAACGAGTACTTCCATTGAGGAATTTGTTCGGTACCAGAAGCTGCGTTGGTTAGGCATGTGTTATGTAGGCCTAACCATCGGCTGCCGAACAAGGTGCTATTTTCCATGCCCAACTCAGAGAGACGGCCTTGACTAGGCTGAGGGGTATGAAGGAAATCACTAAACGCTTGGGTGCTGTCGGTGCTACTCGCCTTCCAGGATGGGGGACCGCGTGATCCTCACTGTGCCTGGTCGGAGACACTACAAGATATGGCTTCCAGCCGATGTCAATGGCGTTCTTGTTGCCAGTTTCTTTCCAGATTGCCTGAGTGAGTGTCTGAAGGTGTAGGCACCTAGGAATGATTGTGGTAAGATAGCACCAATTCCAATTCCCCGTCCACCTCTATTCTTTTCTTTACAATAAGGCTTTCAAACAAGTCATGGTTGTTCGGCAGTTAAGCATCGGTGTTGAACACTGATGTCATGCTGTCGATGATGATGAAGCGTGGTTCGCGACAGTTTTCCGATCTATTGCAAAACCTCAAAGCCTGGTATGGTCCCGTCTTGAAACCGGCATCTACAGGATTTATCTTCAGTAAAATACTACTGTCTGTTCACGTGCACTCCTCTTAACTTGAGCACCAAACCTCTCCCTTCTGCAAGGGAAGCGATTTCGTCTTAATAGACCAACAATCTGGTTCCCCTTTGTGACCTGGCTGCCAGCGGAGTTCACTGCACTGAACTCTCTCGAATTTGTGGACCAGGAGGGAGAGTTTCTGTTTGGAGACAAATTTACCAACAATGGTATGGAAAATTCATCCTTCCTGACAATGTGCCCAGATCGATCATGTGGGACGCGACGATTTCGCATCGACATTCTATGACAGGTTGTTATTTTTGTGACTGTCTTGATTGTGTGACGTGAACAAACGTTATCAAAACGATGATTATGACTGCTCCCAAATAAATTATAATTCCGTTTACCATAAAAATGGGTGTATCTAATGCTGTAGCGTTGATTTATGTGGAAATTAGATGACTTTCCCTTACTATAAATGGAAGTTTGAAAGGAAAAATCAAATCCAACTACAGTAAACTTAGAGGGGCACTTAATCGAGAAAAGCTTACAGTTTTCTCTATGTGAACCCCATTTCTCCGGGGATAGGATAAAAAAGATTACACAATGATCAGACAATTACATGTCGTAAATCTTTCCTAGTTTGACAACTTAATTTATCAGTAGGAGAATTAGCTCCGAACGCAACGGGACTGCATAACAGCCAATGGAATAACCATTTTCGTTGAGGGACAGATTTCATTGGTTGTTCTTCACGCGCCCTTGACAGCTGAGTTGTATTCTTAGTATCATTGTTTTTTGACCCACTTGTACGCGGCAGTGATCAATAGATCAGCCGGTTCTCACGTTCATTGACTTTTCTGGTCTGATCAAGCGCACTAGGCGATCAGTCGACCATCCAGACCGGTATTAAGAAGGCATCAAGGAGACTGTGTTCCACAAAATTTATCGTCCTTTCAATCTGTCATGTTCGTATCTCCCGCTGTGTGCTTGTCGGAATGCGCCACATTACTGATACTTTTTGTATGGTTTACAAACTTGGAACTCGCAACTGAGTAATGGTCAACATTCAAACATTAACGTTCAACTCTGTTTTGTGAAACTCGCGACTCAACATCGCCATGTCTGGCAAACTCAGCAGCAGCGAGGCCGACTTTCTGTAATCAGGCGCAGAAGACAACTATCAGGAAGGTCAGATTCCTGAAAGTAACCTCAGAATGCCTGAAACCTACTGCTCCACCAAAATCTCAACAGTAAATCCGGCAAGCGTCCAGGCCAGTCAATCATTCAATCAATTCAGCAAAAGCTGATGAGTGTTCATGCACGCCACAGAAGCACGACCGAATGTGATCAGCGTTCAGGCTTTTTCACACAGGCACGATCGATGTTGATGGGTGTTCACCAACGCCAATGAGACCGCCTGGAAATTCCCCTTTAGATAGCGTGGGGCCGTTGTATCTTTTGCTTGCGCACTCACGCTCTGGCACTCGCTTGTTCGGAATATAGCTGTTGTGTTCCATTCTGTGAGTCTTTTTTCTCCGGCACTAGGCACTGGAGTGGGTTAGCAACAGATACCACAGATTGGCGAATCAGCAGATATAAGAACAACTTCACCCCCAGAATATACACATTCGAGGGGACGCTGTTTCCATTCAAACTAGCATGAAGTGGCGTTGTCATTCGTTAGGCAAAGCTGGTTGACCTGGATAGTTCAAACACAAACTTACCTTATGCTCGATCTTCACAATTCTAGAAGCCAAACTTTGATGAGAATCGTATACGTCTTCCGGCTTCCCACCTTGTCTCCCAAGTATCTGATCCAATCTTGAAGGAGGGTAAAAGGTCAGAGAATGAAAGATGGATGGTCAGTCATCTAGCTAGACGGTAGGAGACAAGTTGAACTGGGAGGGGGGGGGCAGGGAAATGTCACAACCAAAGTACGTTAGGGCGAGTTGGCTAAGTGAACTAAACAGCCTGGGTCACTTGCTCAAGAGAAAATAAGTCATCTAATTGGAGATTTAGATCCACTTCATAGCACTGGAGTTCCTGAAGGTTTAGTTTTTGGACCACTCTGTTTCCGATGTCTGTTAACGATTTCCGGATTTTCTTGCAAGCCAGTGTTCAGTTTCTGCAGACGTATTGAATTTCTGGAGATCAAATTCCCATCGCACTCCAAACGGATGTGGACACCGCAAAGCAACTTACTTCATAGTCATCAGCTGTGATAACCGCGTACTCGTCGTACAGTGCTTGAACTACCGCAATTTCGTCCACCGATGATTGGGGGGGGGTAGGTAGCTGCGCATTGCAGGCGGGAGATGATAAATTGGTGCATAAATCCAGCAATATCAGTGGGCCGCCACGTGGGGCAAGGTGGGGATTGGAAAAGGAGCTATGCATTGAAGGCAATAGCTTGGATGCACAAGCGCCATTGAGGGCGCGACTGGGCCATATCTGACAATGTGGCCCGTCTCGCGGTCCCTATCTAGGAAGACGGCAGTGACCAGAGCAGCTGAGTTTGCTGGTAATGGATTTCACACTTCTCTACCAAGTCATTGTTTGACCGCCTCTGGCTCTCCTCCACCCTTCACATGCTTTTGCGAAAAGAGCCCTTCGAAGAAGTCGGTCGACTGGCATACGCAGCACGTGGTCAAGCCAGCACAACCGATGCAGTGTGATCAGTTCATTTGTAGAGGGTGAGTTATTTTTCCCGAATACCATTCGACGTACTTCAGCACTGATGATCCGGTGTTCCCACCAGATTCGGGCAATGCTCCGAAGACATCGATGGTCAAACACTGAAAGTCTTTTGACGTCCTCAGCGCGCAGCGACCAGGTTTCATAGCTATCTCCTAAGAATAGAGGGGTTGTTGAGGGGTAGCAAATATTATCGAGTTAATAGTACTTTGAATGTTTGTTGGTTTTTTCTTTTTATTCATTACTCAAGTAGACATTATTCTGTTTCGTTGCATCGAAGTGTTTCTGTTTCTAATTAAAGGTGGGCGCAAATTCCGTTTCTATAGCGAGAGTGACTTTGAAAAAATAGCGTTTCGCGTTCAACCACTCTGCAACCTTGGGCTAGGCATCAAGAACTCAAGGGAGAGAAATTTAAAGGATAATCAGTTTGTAGTCACTCAAACAGGTCATCCTTATTCCTTCAGTTATCTTCCCTATAATCTGATTCTCGAGAACGCATGGCTCTTTCCGGTTCTCTGTCAGCCGAAAACCATGCGCTGGTGCCTAGTTTTCGGCTGAGAAAGTGAATGCCAAAAGCCAGACTTTGTACTTTTTGATCTTTTCATTTACCAACAAGTCTTCTGTTGTTGAACGCTTGACAGTTCTCTTTTTGCCTTTAGGAGAGACACTCGTCAATACAGGAAGTCTTAGATCGATACTTATTAGCCGCTGATAATCTGATACGTCAAACTACACCCAACTTACCTAGATTGTAGCTGCTTCACTCTGGTTAGCATGTCCAAATGTCCAGCTGAATACTGTTCAATCACATCCTTCACATCATAGGGTCGAAGCGCTTCACGAAACTTGCGCCGCGCTACCAAAAAACGCATTTTCCTGATAATTCTGACAGCGCATTTTTCTTGTTCTGTCAACTGCCGATTGACCAAGGTGGGACTTTTATCCTGCCGATGGCTTGGTTCGGCAGCGTCAGAGGTAATTGTGTCGTTGGTTGTTTGATGTCGCAAATTCATGTGACGCCTTGTTCTGAAACTGGGAGTCTTGTCGCGTTGTAACACAGGCCGACGATGTATTCTGGTTTCACTCAACTCAGTGGAGTTGTAGGTATTGGTCTGTGAACCCACTGACTGGATCTTCTCCATAGCTTTGAGACAAAATTCAGAGAGGAACTTTAGGGAAGGTGGACGTTTGTTATATCAAACCGTTCAAAAAAAAGGTGGTATTAGGGAAATCGTACCTTTGTCTTCATCCTCTGGGAGAAACCACTCACGACCCAGGGAAGTTTCTCTATGAATTTCCCTTCTGTAACAAAGAAGAGCAATGGATAAGCGAGGTATTGCACAGCACATTATTCCTAGTTCATTTTCGGTGTGACTGAATTTTGTTCTCATCATGATCGGCAAACGACAACCGAGACGTTTATTTGTAATGCACTACTCATAAGTTGCTGAAAACAAAGAAGAGCAATGGATAAGCGAGGTATTGCACAGCACATTATTCCTAGTTCATTTTCGGTGTGACTGAATTTTGTTCTCATCATGATCGGCAAACGACAACCGAGACGTTTATTTGTAATGCACTACTCATAAGGTTGCTGAAAATTCGTGGACATCCCACGGCCGCTTTCGCTCTTCTTGGGGCTCATCAGGTAAACTCACCAGTCCCCGAGTTTCCGACAACCCTATGTTCCACTTGAAACCGGGATGGTTATACTTACATACCCGCAAATTAGCCACTGATCTCAGAATACTAGATGGATTCTTTCGAAAACGACGATGTTATTCTTTGCCTCCGGAACATATTACTTCCACAGAAGGTCACTCTGTACACTCATCTGTCGAATATGTTGTTTAGATATCTAGTCTTTGGGTGAATTAAAAATTTTCACCAAATCATTGTGTAATGGGACATTTGTACATCGGGGTGAGGTACAACATTACACTCATTCATTCAGACTGGCGTATGCGGGCTAAGCGCTTTCAAAATCACGTTGAAACTAAAATTATACCTCTGGTTTTTGAAAATCTATCAGTCTTGGAATTTCTAACCACACAGGGAAGGAGCTCCCGCTTAGATACGGTGTCTGTCTGGGGCGGAAATTTTGTTGTCTCGGAACACTCATGTGGTTCATATACTGTTCAAGTAAAACATGCTGTTATGAACCGCGATTCGCTCACGCAACCCTAGTCTGTGTGAGTCAGTAAGCGTTCGTACGCGCATTCAAACTTCCAGGGTCTGGTCACGTGACTGCTGGCCAGTCTGGTCGATCGATCGTGACGGCAACCGATTCATGCATGCACGTGTGGCTGTTCATATGCGGCCGGAATCAGTCGCACCAACCAGGAGAGGTAAACAGCAAAACTTGACAGAGATTCGTACGGTATAGTTACTATTTTAAAGTCTTAGTCGCTTCTACTCGCTTAGGAAGCAATACACATGAAAATTAAAAAAACGGACTAGAGTAACCGGTACCTTGGATGATCAGTGGGGCAGAACACCAGGAAAGACATTTATTTCAATGAAATGAAAGCAGTTGTTACCTTTGTTTTAGAGTGTTAGCACACGGATATTTTCCAGATAAGCACCGCCACTAATGCAAAAAGTTCATGTGCGAAAAGTTAAGTCCCCCTCTCACTTTTGCAAGCTCCAATCCGGTGTACGCACACAATCTCGACCTAGTTTTATTAAAAATAATTCCTTATCCGCATCTAGGCCCATTTTGTGCAAAAATGAACTTTCTGACACTTTCAACTCTCGTTCATGACAACGAAGCGGCAATACGTTTTTTTGCAAAGCCATAAAGTGATTCATCAGCAACGTTAATGCCAACTTTTATGGCCCTTAAATGACGCACCCACTGTTTCTGACAGGTGGAGGTGTAATGCCCGACAGCGTCGGTATGAAATCGGTCTTCGAAAGGGAACTTGGCTGGAGCGGTCTAGGATGGAGTTTACGACAGTAATTCTATTCATTTATTGCTGGCCCAAAAATTTGGCAAAAATCAACTTTTGCTCAGTGGAATTATCTATTAGCCACATGACCGCTGCTGAGTGAGAGAACTTTCTCCGCGAAGTTTGCGCCTGACGGCTTTTACAGACTCCAACAGTTATCGGCGGCCCAGGTCTACACGTCGAGATCGATGAAACGCTAATATCTGGCCGCAAAAAAACCACGCACGGCGAGTCCTTTCCCAGCAGTCGATTTTCGAAGAGATCTGCAGGGAAACTAAAGTGGTGTTCATGTATGCAGTGCCAGATCAAACTGCAGCCGCTTTGATGGACACAATCCAGGCCTGTATCGCTCCAGGCTCAATCATCCTCTCCGATATGTGGGCATCATATCGAGGAATAGAAACGATGATTGACATGAATTACACTCACGAAACGGTTAATCATACCGAAAACATTGTGGATCCAACGACTGAGGGTCATATACAAACCATAGGGTCTCTTTGGCACGTCTACAAAATGCAGAATAAACGCCAACGCGGCACAAACCGATCTTTAGGGGACAGCTACTTGAGTGAGTTTGTTCGGAGGCCAAGGTCGCGAAAAATGGACCTTTTCATGTGACTTATGAATGACATTTCCCAATTTCACCCTCTTTAATAAAAACTAAAAGTACAAATTTCATGCCCTCTTTTTGGCGGGGCTTATCTGGAAAAGATCCTAGCAAACAACCTGTGCAAAAATTTTACCGGCTAGATTGATGACGTAGCGAAATGTGGAAGCAGAAAGTCTGGTTATGAATTTATCCATCAGTAATGTTGATTTCTTCCGTTAGGTTTGCACGCGAGGAAAAAGTGACATAAGTGATCGACATGAATCTATCTACGCAGATACAACTCGTTCCATAAATGTGAGTTTTACGGAGTTTTTTGGAAGTCCACTGTGAACACTTTCAAGATATAATTGTTCAACTAAAAAAGAACTTTCAAATAATGACTAGTTTTGTGGCAATTTTACCAGGCAGAAACTTTCTGGTCCAAATTCGATCGGAAGGTGACGGCGCCAGTGAACTTTGGTGTGGTCCGAGGAGAAATGCTGCTTTGGAAAGCTGAATGAAACTTCTATCTGAGAAGTCGTTGCTCAAGGAGCCAGTCAACACGTGTGACCGCACGATGTGGATCCCGTGATTGAAGGATGAGTGGCGCTATATCCTGTCTAAGTGCGAGTTAATCACACTGCTGATCAGCCACTCGTGGCCGAACGGTTAAGTGTTCAAACTACTAGCCGGGAGGTTGCAGGTTCCAGACTCTTTGGAGTTTCGTGAGATGCGCACTGCTGATGATTCCCAATAAGGATGAAACAGCTGTACAGTGCTTCTCGACTTTTCAGCATAGATTGACTTCACTTACAGGACGAAATCTCCACAAAGCCGTGTTCAGTTCGCTGAAATGATCACATAATCAATCACGCAGCTGTACTGTCTTTTCGGTGTCTAGTTGGCTCGGCACAGGAAGGAAGCACGATGAAAGGGATACCGTCCAAGATTCCAGGCAGTCCGGGTTGGCTTCGCATCAGAAACCTCCCGGTCAGTAAGTTCGTGATTTAACCAGTGGGCTCAAGTTTCACTGAAGTGTGCTCACCGCAACACCCATAGACACCCTGACCAACATCGGACACCTTCGCGAAACTAACTATTTCTTTGAAGTGCATTATCGTTTGTTGGTTAACTTGATTTATCCGTTACCTGTCGCATGA